TATTCAATTATGTTTGTTTTCCAACTCCCTCTTATTAATCTCATTAGATGACACAGAGGTGTCCTGATTTGCGGTATCAGAGGGTTACCAACCTGATTTAAGATGTGAAAAAAAAAAAAACATTTTGAGACTTAGAATGATAACAGTCTGAGTCTGAAAATGTTACCTATGCTACTAAACCCAGATTGTACATTTCGTCACCGGTTCCACCTTCAGGGGAATTTTGTTTGCACCATAATATCAGGGCCACCCTATCAGCTTGGTGCTTCCTCTTTAGTTGTACATCTAAAGGAATTTCTTTGTGTAGTGTGTGTCAAACTGCAGTTTTGTGACACTAAATTCAGCTGCGCAGCCTGCTGAAATGGTGGGAAAGAGTGGTCTTGAGGCTTTGAACAAAGAAAGAATTGGTGGAAATTTTTTAGTGAATTCCAGGTGAAAGTCTGAATATTTTCATAAACAAGCTGAATAGGAATATTAATCCTATAGAGGTTTCCTCTCAAGGGTTTTTCTACCTTGGTTAGTTTGAAACAACTAGTATGGGGCAGGCATGTGAATTGTGTTTATGTGGAGATTTGCTTTGTTTTGAATAATTTCTTTCATAGGGAGACATGATAATTTCAGGAGCACTTAAATATGTTGAAGACCATTTTGATTATAGTTTGTAATGTGATTTTCTTCTTTTAGTTCTGAATTGCTCGAGAAGATTTAAAGCCCAGCTATTTTCTGAAAGAAGAACGCTGGTATTTTTCCTTCGTTTCCAAAGAAAATAATCTTTTGTGGCAGAACTAGTGCTCTTTACCTTTCTGCTCTCATTTAAGAATTGAAGACTTTTATTTTAGCCAGTAAGAATAATGTTGAAGCATACCTTTTAAATTTATTTTTTCATTTTCTTGATTTTTTGGTCAGATTTTCTAAAGAAAAACTGTGTCAATTACTAAAAAGTTTATTACACTTACGTTCCTTCCACAAGTTTTCACTCAATTTTATATCATTTTTGGTTTGGCCTCATGAAGTGATTAAAAAACATAAATGTAGATGTCTGCCTGTCTTCTAAGTGTCTAAATGCCATTGTAGTCTATGGATATGTAGACAATACAGGCAGTGGAGCCTGGAGAGCAATTGTCATCTTAACTGGCTGTGCACTGGCTGGTCAACTGGGAGCTCTCTAGGCCCCCTTGACTTCTTCATTGGCAAGATCCAATATCAATGGTGATCTTGCCAATGGAGAAGTCAAGGGGGTCTAGAGAGTGCTGTATATAATTGTCTTAATTTGGAACTGCATCCCATCAAAACCTTGTAGTTTAAACTAAGCCACTTTGTCTCTTTGGTCAGGGGAGAGAGAGATAGATATATCTTTTGAGGGAAATTCACTCTACCTACTTTAAACATCTAATTTAAACCATGAAATGGGAGCATAATACAGCAAAAATCTGTGCACGCTCTGCCATAGTCTGTAGAAGTCTATACAGTTAAAGACAAAACCTCTAATTGTTGTGTAATGTTATCAATAACAGGGCAAGATAGAATGTCTCTTAATTAACTTAATAACCTGATAGTTACGTTCAGACATAGCTAATTAGAGCTTTCTTGTAATTGGGCCTATGATTAATAGACTGTGAAGACTGTTTCATTTGTATTAAATGCATGGACAGTCACAAAGAAATTAAAATTTGAGGCTGCATTGAATAACTAATAGAGCACCTCAGGACAGCACAATAGTGAAAGGTTATTCTCTTTATAAAGAATTAATTTATTAAGTAGCTAGCTTAGACCTGGTTTTTGCAAGATCTTTTGCAGTCTTATCAATATGTGCATGAATCTCTCTCTTGGAAATATCCGCAGATGAACTTTTGCAAGTTTCTTTTAAAACAGTCCATCTTGCATAGTTAATAAAACTAGTGAATGTAAAAGCACATGAAGATACCATTACAGAAGAATGGTTTCCTACAGATGAACATGTTTTAAAGATAGACAAGTTTCCTTTACTTTTTCTTATTTAAATTAGGTGACATTGGGAATAAATAGAAAACTTAGAAATTTGGGTTAGAAAGGCAAAAAAGTATAGTTAATATTTTTAAGAGGTATATAAGTATCTTACATTTTTGTTCTTATGCATAGATGAAACTTATCTGTTGAATTTTTCATCAGGAAATGGATCTCAGTTTCAATGATCTTGTACCATTTTTATTCTGCTGTTAATGCAGAGGCGGCTTCATTGAGACTAGTTGGTCTTTTTTCTTTTCTTTTTCTTGTGAAACCTTGCCTACTTAGCACATTGTGAGTCAGATCAGACTGCTGCTCACCAAAAAGGAATTTTATTTTTGTAACTTGTTGTACACTTTGCTTTTTCTTATTTAATACCTTCACTTTTGTCATCTTTTTTTTGAAACATTTAAAACTCGTAAGAGTATATTTAGACTACCATGTAGTATGCTATTCCTGCTGTCTATGAAGATGTCATCCAAGCAACAGATGAGAACATGAAATAAACTTTGGGTAATTTAATCAGAAGTTTATGATAGGTTTTCTCTTACTAAGGAATGGTGCTAGATGAGAATACAGATAAGGAATGTCTATCTGGGGTAATGTCTTTTCACCTGCAGGCAAGTATATGTTTTTACTTAAAAAATGAGCTGAGTGCTCACTAGGTAAAATTATTGCCTGTGTGACATTTTTTACTTTTTTTCTTGGGTCATTTTTGGTTGGTTTGTTTTTTTCCTCTTGCCCCTCCCAGCCCTCCACCCCATGGCATGGCCAAGCAACACAACACAGACAGGTGATGTATTTCCTTGTAATTGCCAATTTGTTGGGGATGACAAGAGGCTCAAAGGAAGCTTGAGCTTGAAGGGGGGCCTGAGCAGATGGAGTTATGTCCCTTGATGGACTGGGTGACAGAATTCGGTA